TTACAGGAGCAATTGTACTGGTTGCTGTACTGGCTTCTGATAAGCCTCCATATAAAACAATATTTTATTTGAATTAGCAACAGTTGGCTGCCTTACATAGCATACTAAACTATACGTGATAGTTTAAAAACACCACCACATACATCACTGTATCAATCTTTAGTTTATTTTATTTTAAGATGATTCAGACACACACCAAATGTAGAAAAGAGCAAATTATGGTATTAATGCAAGCCATATGTTAATTTTTAATAGCATGTCTGAACTACTAGAAACTTTAGTAAAGCCATGTTTGTTTATAGGTCACCTGAAACAGTCAACTCTGGACAGCAAAAACCACTTATGGCTGCTTATATCCTTTACAAATGGAGTTTCAAGCAACATCACTACATAAATAACAATGTCCTACATTAGATTTCAGCAATTCAGCTTCACGGTTTACCATATATATCATTATTAATGATGCAAACTAATGCCAACAGATGCCAACTAATATTAGCATGCTAACTGGTATATTTCAACTTCCCCAAGAACTAAATCTATCTAAGTAAGTTGTGTCGCAGTCATCACTTCCAAATTTAAGAAAAAAGAAAATTCTGAAATTAATTCTGATAAAGACCTGGAAATTCAATTGCAAATAGGATATTCACTGATATTTACATATTAAAAATGTAAATTAAACATTTTAGCATATAGGTGGCTGAACTAGGAAAGACCTCCATGAAATTAGTGAAGTAAAAACCATGAGTCAGGGGGTATTGATAGCTTAATTAACCCACATCTGCAGTATAAAAACAGATCTACTCATCTTCCAAAGCAAAGCAGGTAAACAAAAAATGCATGGATAAAAATGCATGGAGGACAGAAGATGGTTATCTTAAATTCATGTGACATGTTGGATCGTTTCAGAGATATTTCCTTACTTAAACTGAGAAACAGAATGGCCAAGGTTAGGCAAAAAAGCAATGGGAGTGGCAATGACATCTAACTTCTTTCTAGTTTCCCATAGATTTTCCATGTAGGAAACTGTCATAGTTAGAAATGACAATCAGGTAACTAAAACTGACCATAAGAACCAGGGAACAGTGAAGCGGCCACAACTTTGCCAAATTCCAATCTCACAGGAGCCATGGGTCCTGGAACTTGGATGCATTCTTTAAGTTAGCCCTATTTGAGGTACATTGGTTCAAAAACTGTTGCTTTATTATGCATCATTTTGCCCAATGGAATGCTACAAAAAAAATCAAACAGACATAAGTGTTTTACTAGAATATAGATTATGTGAAGAGCTTTCATCCCAGTAACACAAGTTATGCAAAAAGTTACTGATTTGTTTAATATTTAGCACACACACATTTTTGTCAATGTCTTCACAACTGATCTTTACAAAGTAAGCTATTGTGACTCTATACAGGAAAGTTGTTCCAATAGCCTTCAGTCCTAGTTATCAACAAAATAACATCATGTGGGAAGAGAGATGGTGCCACTTTGGAGAATACAACAGAAGAAACAGATCTTGTTCCATAACTCAAAATAACTCTTTGATTTCATTTGCAATGCTATGCCTCAGACACAAAGACATGAAAGAAATAGGATTGTGAAGATCAATGCTGATCTGTAAAGTTAAATTTACCCTCGCCCACCTTCCCAGTGAATGCTGAAGCTAAAACTACAGGTAATCCTCAACTTACAATCACTGTTGAGCCCAAAATTTATGTTGCTAAGTGAGAAATTTGTTAAGTGAGTGTTGCCCCTCACATCCTGGACATAAACTGTTTCAACTCCTACCCTCAAAATGATGCTATAGAGCACTGCACACCAGAACTAGGCACAAGGACAGTTTTTCCCTGAACACCATCACTCTGCTAAACAAATAATTCCCTCAACACTGTCCAACTATTTACAAAGTTTGCACTACTATTACTATTAATTTTCTCACCATTCCTTATCACCCACTCACTCCGACTTGTGACCATATGACTGTAACTTTGTCACTCGTATCCTTACGGTTTATATTGACTGTTTCCTAGTATGATTTGATTGCTTATTGTACCCTATGACAATTATTAAATGTTGTACCTTATGATTCTTGATCCTTGATGCGTGTATCTTTTCTTTTATGTACATTGAGAGCATCTGCACCAAAACAAATTCCTTGTGTGTCCAATCACACTTGGCCAATAAAGAATTCAGTTTTCGACTTTTCTGGCCACAGTTGTTAAGTGAATCCCTGCAGTTGTTAAATTAGTAACACAGTTGTTAAGTGAATCTGGTTTCCCTATTGACTTTGCTTGTCAGAAGGTTGTGGTAGGCGATCACAGGACGCCAGGACACTGCAACCTTCATAAATATTAATCAGTTGTCAAGCATCATCTGGATTGTAAATCATGTGACCCTGGGGATGCTGCAATGGTCCCTAAGAGTGAAAAATGATCATAAGTGACTTTTTTCAGTGTAACTTCAGTCACTAAGTGGACTGTTGTAAGTCGAGGACTTCCTGTATAACATTTTTAAACATCCACATGCTTCTGAGTGTGCAAGGCTGGACGCCACCCGTTCCCCAACAAGCCTTTACCAGGACCAGCGAAGTCTCGAAAAAGTGATGAATAAGCTTTCCCTACGGACTCGCCGCTATAAGATTTACAATCACGCTTCCTGGAGGAAGCTTGCACGCGAAAACACCCACGGCGTCGTTTCCCCGTGGCACAGCCAAAGAAAACCGCTAGGGTCTGGGAATGTCAAGTCTGCCATCCAAGTCAGGAAAACGTTGGCCCTTTCTACTCGGCGGGGCTCGTAGCCGAACAGCCGCGATCTATCTGTTCAGGTGGCGGGTATCGGCCATCGCCGGCCAGCTCTTACCTTGACCGACACTGCTGGGGCCGAGTCCACTACCGGCAGCAACACCTGTTGCGTAGCGGGCGCCGCCGCCGCCGCCGCCGCCGCCAAGTGAAGCACAGCGTCAGCCCCGGCGACCTGAGCGGAAAGGCCGGGCCTTCCTTCAGCATCCGAGCCCGAGTCGGAATCGGAATCCGAGCCCCCGTATGACGCGAGGGCAGCGATGGCGGCCGACATCTTACCCGAACGGAAGTGGCCCTCCTAGGCCAGGGGGGCGGGGCGCGGGAAAAGCCTGAAGAGTCCTGGCAGCTGCGTAAAACAATTCTCCTTCTCTCCGGACTCCCCTCAGTTTGGGCTGAACTGAACATATCTAGGAGCGCCCAAAAGAATATGTACCTATTTTTAGCCTTCTGTCCAAATACAATTGTGACGGGAGTCATGAAGCGTCACGCTTTTTAAGGTTGACCGCAATTAGGACTTTCAACCAGTACACAAATCCCAGGATACCTTCGATTGTTGCGGAGGGAGGAGGGTAGCGCAATCTGAGACTGTTGCTCCTGAGACAGTTATCGGTGGAAAACTGTAATTTCAATGCACATTAGTTTGCATTAATCTTCTCGGGGTTACTTCAGATACACCTAACAGGAGAGACTGAAAGCTGCACAGCTACTATAGTATACATTAGATGAAGGGGCGGGGGGGAGATTTGTGCCATCTTTAGAACTAACCAAATCTCGCACTTCTTTTTATCCCAAAACAATAATGGACCCCCTTCCCTTTTATTCCAGAATAAGAGGGCATGAACGTATCCACATTCCTCACTTGCAAACGAAGTGCGTCTTTTTTATTAAGTGGTCCCAGTTCTGAAATGCAGCAATGTAAAATAGGCGTCAATTCCCTTCAATTCCCATGTTTCTAAACTCCACCAAATCATTTTTGCAATGTTAATTGCAAGGTACGTACTGAAAATATCGGTTCCGTTTTGACAACAGACCTAACATAACTGCATTAGGGTGCAGTTCGAAATCTGGTAGAAAGAATGGCATCCAATGACTCTAGGAATTCACTGGTTCATTCTCGTTGATCATTCAGAAAGCACGAATGAGTTCCAAAAGCTTCATATTTTGGATATGTAAAAATTCAGAGCATAAATCCTAAGCATCGTTAGGCTCAGTTGCTTCCAGAATTATAGCGGAATATATATAATTATTAATTACAGGATAAATCATCGGGGCATATAAATATCTATTTTATATAGTATTTATAAATGCAGTTAGTTTTCGATCCGATACCATTTATTTCAATAAATATAGGCAAGTGTTGAGATTTGTAGCCTTACTAGAAATTCAATAGTACTACTAAATTATTAAAAGCGGTGTCAGCCACGTTGACCGACTATATTAGAAAGTGAATCTTGGCTAAGGGGATTACTACAGACTTCCTTCCGCAATTAGTGGAGTCCTGTGAAGAGTTTCACAGTACAATCTTGCCCATTAACGGAGATGCAAATCCTACCGAGTTCAGTGCGGTTTGACCGGCAATTGTATATACACCGTATTGCATATTCCTAATGCAATTGTATAATGACAGAATGACTGCAGCATTCAAACTACGGCGTTTCCATGCTTTCTTTTTCTAACCAAACATTTGCTCCAACGGAAAAATGGAGCAAGCATAAGCCTCATTAACGCTTAGCCTGCGCCGACCTGTATCTTAACGTAGCTCTCCCGGACCGCCGTTCACCCTCTTGCAAAGCCTCCTCGGTCCGACTGCCTTTGGATCTAACGCCAGCTCCTCCTCCTCTTTCTTCTAATTGGCTGCGAGAAGCCGGTTTAAGGAAAGCCGCAATAAAACCCTACCGCCGCCGCCTCCCCTCGCTCTCAACCCCTTAAACAGAATAAAGCTAGCCTGTACCACCCGGCCGTGTGGGCGGGGGTGCGCGCGTGCGCGCGTGACTGGCATCAGTAAAGAAGCTCCAAGCGTCCGCCTCTTTTCATCTCGAGGCAGAAGAGCCGCGCGGTGAGGGGCTTGCCGGCTCAGGTGGCTGCGCAAAACGACACCTTCGCCGGCCTCTCCCCTTCAGTGGTCGCGCCACCCCCGTTCCGGGAGAGAGTGCGGGAGCCGGCCAAGAAAGCTCCGCCTTCGGCACACTCGCGCCGACACACACACACGCGCGCCGCTCTCTCGCGCCGTGTCTATTGTGAAGCTTTGTGCCGAGGAAGGTCCGCGCTTTCTCCTTCCCTTCTTTCGTCCTTCTTCTCCTCAGCTCCGTCTCAGCGCTCCCCCCCCCAACAAAAAATCCGGACTTTCGCAGACAACCGTTCGCCAGGGGTGGGGGGTGGGCTCCCTCGCGGGGCGCGCGATCGAACTTCCAAGCCCAACGGACTCGCTGGGCGCGAGCTTCTTCCCCCCCCCCCACCCCCCGACGCAGAAAGGGAAAGGAGCCGACGGGGCGGCGGGGGCTGTGAGAAGATGTAAAAAAAAAGGGGTGGTGGTGGTGGTGGTGGTTAACGGCGAGACGTGGTCAAGGAGCCGGGATTCCCTCAGCAAGAAGACGCGGTGAGTTTGCTGCCTCTGCTGCGGTCCTGTATTCTCTGCAGTGCTCCTTCTTTTTCTCCCACCCGCCACTGCCCCCTTCTTCCACTTGCCCCGCCGCTTCCCGGTTCGCCGAGGCGAGATATTCCCACTCGGTCTTTCCACGCGGAGAGGGGTCACGCCTCCCAACCTTTACCTGCTGGCCGGCCAGCCAGCCAGCCAGCCAGCCATCTCTCCCGTGCTGGGTTAATGGGAACGGGAAAGCGAGGGAAGCGGAGTGGGGGGGAAGGGGGAGGTCAACGTTAGTAGCTGCACTCCCCCCCCTCTCCTTCTTCCCCTCGGTCCTGCGGCCTCAGATTGGGGCATGCGGGCGCTTCCGGTTGGCGATTTTTCTCCGCTGCCCCCCCTCCCCGCCCCCAAAAGAAGGCGAGGCTGCGGTCAAGGGTCTTCTCCCCAGATGTACCTGAAATACGTCGTTGGAGGGTGGGGTGGGGGTTGCTCGCTGCTTCTCTCCTTGAGTCTTCCGCCAATACGCGGCAATCTTTTATTTAAAACTGGGTATGTAGCCTTATTTCGTGGCTAAAAGACCCCGTTAAATCCGGGGTTCGTTTCTTATCACATGCTCAGATGGCTCGATGCGAACTTAACTCTCACCTCTTCCCCTGTATAATGGGTGGAGGGATGGAGTGGTTAGAAAAGCATAAGGAGCCTTTTCTTTCCCGCTCCCCTTTTGTCGAGGCGGGCTTCAGAATGGCGTGGAAAAACATCAAATCCGATGAATGTAGTTTAAACGATACGAAACGAGGTCGGGATATTTGTTTCAGGGGAATTGGAGCAGAATCCGTGTACCTGTGTGTGTGTTCCACTGAACGCATTAATGGAAATGTGAAGGGGCATTTTTGGTGTGTGTGTGTGTGAGAGAGAGAGAGATGTGCTGCATATGGGCGCAATAAAGATACGGAGGACTTTATACATCCTTGATTTGTATGAAGCTATGTAAAGCAGTGTGTGGAACAGGTTCAGGGTTATAGAGCTCTTGTCTCAAACATGGAAATAAGGAAGGACACAACTGGCCATTTGTCTAAGCATAAATAATTGTGTTTCCATATGCTATGAAATATCACTATTTTTGAATTAAGCTAATTTCTCTTTAAAGCCTGAAACTTATCTTGAGAGGGGGTTGTCACATGGCAGTGAATGAGTTATCCAGCCCAGTACTTTTATTATACAGAAATGGTAAGATCCAAACCTTTTCCCCTGGAATCTTACTTGTGGCTAAAGTAACTGTGTCATAGTAGACTTAACTGCTTTCAACAGCTCTTCCAGATTGTACTTTATGCTATTTGACATAATTTTATAGACACTGGGTGTGAAGATTTAACATTGGTTCTGAGTGCTTTTAAATAATGTTCAGATTGTTTTTTACATTAACATTCCTTTTTTTAAAAAAATGGAAAAAACATAATGTAATAAAATAAAATATTTTATATGTATTCACATATTACATAATATACATTTGAAAAAAGCCATTACTGTGTTACCCATTTATGCTTGGGTTTTGTAGAAATCTGAGGTAGTGTACATATACAGTACTTTTGTTTTGACTAAATGATCTTTGAATATTAGATCTTGAATTGTTTATTTGAATAGCAATACTTCTGATAAAGCATATTCTAACTTTGAAATTTTACTCGGAAGACAATGTTGCACGCTATAGAGAAAAGGTAAAATATTTCTAAAACATGTCTGTCATTTTGGTTGGGTTGTTTTTCAATTCCATTCTAAAAGTAAATTGAAAAGAAATGTTTAAATCAAAATAAAAGATAATACATTTCACAATAAAAACAATATGATAACCTGATCTTGGACACCATCAATTTGCTGAAATATTATTTCTTAATATATAATAATTTATAAGGCAATATCATAACAGAACCTTTTGAACACAGTAGTATAAATGGAGTACAGTACACAGACAGCTTATAGCTTTATTGTTTTTATTTTCATGAAGCTGTTTTGTCTTAATTGTTATTGTTTTAATGAGCTGGCAGCAGGATTGAGATATTTTGTCTATGTGGTTTGTGTAAACTCAGTTTTGCAGTAACATTGACTACAAAGAGTTTCCTGAATAAGTTGTTACTTTTAATATCAGTATGTGTGTATCTTTTTGATGATGGTGCAATATTTCTGTGAAACTGAAATAGGTTAACCATGGTGATATTCATGTCTGATATGTATAAGAAATTTCAATAAGCATGTTATCCATTAACCAGATATAAAATAAACTCTTGTTCCCATTCAGACCCAAGTATTAACTTTTTCAGAAAAAGAAATATTTGGAATTTAAAAAATGCTAATAATTTGAAATATGTTAGTCTTAAATACTTCAGAGGTTCCAATGAAGAATGTACAGTAGTATATAAATTGGGTTGATCAACATTTATCTTTGTTTTTTGTTGTAAGTGATCTGTTTAGTGGATTTTATGTGAATTATTTTTATTTAATCAATAAGGTATAGGTATACAAATGTTTACTTTTCTTCTATTCAGCCATGACAATTCTTGGAAATTGCCTGGACAAATCCTTGCAGTTTTCTTTGCAAGGTTTTTCAGATGTGATATGCCATTTCCTGCTTAGTTATTATCAAAATAGGTTATATTCATGCTCCCTTTCTTATCATACATTAGGGGCAGAATTTTTATAATTACAAGATGCACTTTCTCTGTGTGGAATGGGCATTGCCTTATGATTTGTTCTCAACAGGTAGCAGAACCTAGTAGAACTTGGTTGATCTTGGAAGCTAGCAGAAATTGTTCTGATTGATATTTGGATGTGGCACTATCTAGAAACTACTGGGTACACTGAAAATTTGAGGGGGGAAATCTTGGAAGAACACAGTTGCAGTTTAATTACAAAAAATGCTGCAAGATTTCCCCCCCTTTTGCACTTTCCAAGATTTTAGTTTAATTTGAGGACATCCTTTTATATTGGTATGCACTTACCATTAACAGCGTCTAGAAGAATGGACAAGGTAATGAAAAATTAGGAGAATGCAATGGAGGAACATATTCATAGATATTCTACTAGTTTTGTTTTTGTTTGCAGCAAACATGAAATAGGAATAATGAATAATTTATGTCATTCTCCTGAATCATCTTTTATTAACATTGTATAACATGTATCCTGCTGACTATGATTTATTCATGTAACTTAGATTTCATATAAAAGATAACTTAAACAATTGATAGAATACAGTACATGATTTTTCTAGATATACTAGCTTCTGATTATATTTTCTGTTCCTCCCATTATTTTATGCCACTGTGAATGAACTGTATTCAGTTTTTTAAAATTTTATTTTATCAACTTGCTAAGGGGTTTTATATTAAACCATTCAGGATCTAATAGACAGTGCAAAGTATTTTAATATAAATATTGTTTATTTAAAAGTTCTGCTTGCCTATTGGATGACATTTATTTATTCTAGACCAGTCATTGATTTTCAGTAAATGAATCAATATCTATAGGATTGGCTCTACAATAGCAATACAAGAGCCAGTGTGGTGTAGTAACAAAGGTGCTGGCTAGAAACCAGGAAATTGCAAGTTCTGGACTTGATTAGATTAGTCAGGAATGCATCCAATAGTGAGAAAATTGTTAAAGACACAGTTGAATGATGGAAACACTATCAAAGCCATCAATATCTGAGCCATACCTGAGATATGATGCACTGCTGAAATTATTAACTGGACACAAGTTAAACTGGACAATTTGAACCGAAAAACAGAAGTAAAGTTTGGGTTACAAAACATCAGATATAATTATGATTGAAAAGAAGAAAGTGTGGATAATTGATGGGGCAACACCAGGGGATAGTAGAATAGGAGACAAAGAACTGGAGATTACAAAGTATCAAGATCTGAAAATAGAAGTTAAAAGGTTATGGCATAAATTGATTGTGGTACTCTCAGTGGTTATTGGCACACTGGATGCCATACCAAAAAATTGTGGAATTTGTGAATTGAAAATTTGTGGATTGACAATATTTCCATCTGTCAGTTGCAAAAGGCCAAACTATGTGGATTTGCACATATTATTAACTATGCGAATACATTACCATATCCTAGATTGTTGGGAAGACCTAAATGCGTATGAAGGCCAACAGCTAAAGAACTGGCAGTTGTGACTTCACATTGTTGTGAACAGATAATAAGAATAATATGGGTCCTTGGAAAGCATTCAATGTGTGGATAAAAATGCCACATCCAGCCTAAACATCTGATTGACTGCCATCAACCATAAAAATACATTGTATTTTCTCAAATACAGTTACTGACCCATCAGAACTTTTTTATTTAAATCAAAATTTGACAGATGGACATGGAAATAAGTATTAATTGAATTCAGTTACATTTTTTCCTTTAAACAATTAAAACTCTGGGGACTAGCACTGTTGGAATCCAAAGGCACACTAGTTGGGGGCTTATATAAAAAAAGTAAATGTTTGAATCTCCACCTCTAGATTGCCTCTGCAGTCTTTCAGCATTTGAGGAGATTTTTGAGACTTTAGGGAGATAGAAAATTACCATTCTTGGATTCATTTGCAGAAAATTCTGTCAGCAGAAGAATTTGACCACCCAGAATGTTTTTGTTTAATACACAAGACTTTATTAATAGCCAAGCCATAAATAAAATATATATATAGAAATAGCAGTACTCTTATGTACTTTCATTTAAGTATCTTGGTGAATTAGATCAAAATCTATTTTGTAAACAAAATATCTGCAGCTCCTGTGGAAATTGATTACTTAGCTTTTGCTTTCTGTTTAAGTAGCTTTCCATGTTACTGTGAAACTATGAAACAATTTGCCTCTTTATCTAGTATGGGGACTGGCCACTTTGTAATTTTGGTAAATATGGTAAAAATAATAGCTAAAGGTACAAATGGCTTAAGTTTGGAATGATTGAAGTAAAATACGAGCGCATACATGTCTATGGAGATTCTCAGTCATCCAGGTCATGGTTGCCCCAAAGGTGTTTTTTCAAGAGGCAACTGGACTTTCTGATTTTTCTTTGAAGACATTTTGCTTCTCATCCAAGAAAGCTTCTTCAGTTCAAGAAGCTTCTTGGATGAAAAGTGAAACGTCTTCAAAGAAAAGCCAGAAAGTCCAGTTGCCTCTTGAAAAAGCACTTGTGGGACTAGAGCATACACTTCCATGCCTCCCTTTTGTCTCTCAGGTCCTAGAGTTCTATGAAGGCAGTTGTGATAAATTTGCAAGATATTTAAAGGTCAGTGTTGCATATGTCTACTCAGAACTTAAAACTCCTTCTGGAAACTTCACTGAGATTTCAAAGTTGGATCAATTCATACTTTTTCCTGATATTGCAGCTTGGTTATATAAAGCTTGGTTATGTAAAGCTTGGAAAGGTTCAGCTGATTATCAATGTATGTTACTATTCTTCTTCATGACATTTATTAGTTAGTTGTATGAGAGAAAGGTTTGAGTTCAGACAGCGTAAGGCTTTCTTGAGGGAGAATCAACAGAAACTAGTTTTGACCAGATATTGCATCAACTGAGGCTGCAGACAAAACAAAAGTACAATACCCCACCCACCCCAGTACTATTACAATAACAAGGCAGCATGGTCAGACTGAAATAAATTTAAAATCTTTTTGACAGAATTTCTGGAGCTGTCTAGTCACTACTTTTTAAAAGATTTCAGAGAAAAACTCAGCAGTTTTTAACTTTTTAAAGGGGAAGATATGCCACAATCACTCTTAAACCTATTAATATCTTATTCTCTGTGATCTCTTAAGAACTTTTGACATTACTAGTCAAGGCATTGTAGTTGATTTAACACTGTCATTTTCTGTGACCTCTTAAGAATGTTTGACATTAGTAGTCATGGCATTGTATCTGATTCAACGCTACCTAGGGAAGAAAAGTTCAACCTATTTAGATTTCTTTTTATACTAAATTATAATAAAAAGATATCTGTAGTGGTGCTCAACAGAAGTTCCATTCTTCAATTACATCAGAAGATGTTACAATTATATTGTGATTGACCAGATAGCAAATCCCTGAAATATGACTTAAGGCTGCCTTAGATTTCTGTGTCATTGCATGTCAGGGAATGTATGTATCTGAGATTTGGAGACGGTTGCATACCTGTTGCCTTTATATTTCTGCGAATGTTAATATTCTGGCTAGGGAATGTTCAAACAACAAAGCATCAAGAGGAAGTCATATGAACCAATCAACATGCAGGACATGCATCTCTGTACAACATGTAGTTGAAATTTGGGAAGTGTGCATGTCGCCCTGTCTGCAACCATTTGCAACCTTCACTTAACTCATCAGCCCTTTGCATCGTAGGTACGTGTTGGCACCTACACGCAGTTGTGAACAAGTCTGAATCAAGCTTTAGGCTGGTTCACACATCACATGAAACAGGAAATGTACAATTTCTATTGGCTTCAGATCAGGTTTAAATGGCATATTGAAGACTCGACTCTAAAATAGGCAAGTAAAATCCATTTTAGTTTGCTTCTGAGATTCTGCAATAATTAACTTCCATATTTTGCCCCTTCATTCTCCCCAAACTTGAAAAGAGGATCAAAAGCAACTAAAATGTTCATCCCTCCTATTCTTGGAGCCATAAACTGGATGCTGAAGGCTACAGATGACCTCTGTACTTTTTGTATGCTTCAAGATACATTTTGTTTAAGTATGGTTTGTTCAATAACTTACAACTGAGCTTCCATAGCACACTATGTGATAATCCATTTTTACAGCCCAAATAGATTAACATGTCACACTATGCTATAATGTGGTTTTTTTAATCTGTTGAATGAATCCAATAAAAATTTTTTAACATTAATAGTATTTGGATCTTATTTTTCTTATATCAGGATTGTCTGTTATTGTAAAATTTTGAATATGGAAGCAGCTATAAATTAGAAGTGCTTTCATTTTGAAACATTATTTGAAACATTTGAAATTATTTTCCTAGTTTTCTCCAAACACAAAACACAAATCAAATAAGTGGTATTTACAGGTAAGAATATATTATAACCTCATTGTGCTGCAGCTGCTTGGACAGTGATGTTAAGACTTCATATCAGTGTTTTTGTAACTGAACTATTTTCAGAAATGAAAACTAAAAAAAAGATAAAGATTTCCCCTATCTGGTCATGACCAACTCTAGGGGGTGGTACACATCTCAGTTTCTTAGCCAAGGGGGCAGCTTTATGCAAAGATTCTTTCTTCCTCATGTGGCCAGCATGACCATACGTAGAGTGCATGGAATGCTGTTACCTTCCCATCTAAGTGATACTTATTTATCTACTTGATTTTCATGCTTTCAAACTGCTAGTTTGGCAGGAGCTGGGGCAAGAACAGGAGCTCACCTTGTCTCAGTACTTGGGTCTCAAACTGCCAGCCTTCTGTGCAAGAAGCCCAGCACCTTAACCAGTAGGTCATTTCCCCCACTCTCCCCAGAAATGAAAACTAGATTAACAGGTTCAGACTATTAAATAGTAGAAACCACTAAAGCAGGTTAATTTTCTCAGGGGGCCACATCAGAAATGGGTTGTTGCGGAAGGACCAACTACTAGACTGAACTTAATTCTGCCACTGATATCCATGTGTTGAGGGAAGAGGAAACAAGAAACCTCTCCCCAGCCTGACTGTTGCTCTTCTGCTCTTTCACAGCTGACTAAAAGAGCACACTTGGCTTCCCTCCCGCCCCTGCATAGTCAGATATATATTTTATTTTCTAACTTCCAGTTGATCTCATGTGGGCTCGACAATAACAGCCCAAGGGCTGATATGACTTGGAGGGCATATACATACATACATACATACATACATACATACATACATACATACATACACATACACGCACACACACACACACACACACACACACAGACAATACTCTGGAAATCACTCCTTTTTTTTGTTAGAATGTTTCTTCCAATTTGTAGATAGAACCTTTAAGATAAGTTGAACGTGCTACTTACCAACTGAGTTGTAAAATCAGAAAGTAGCTGTTTGTCCCACTTTGCTTAAGTCTTAGAGGCAGTAATCAAAGAAAGAGGCATGGTAAGTCTGTCTAAGGATTGCACATAGGTAAATGGGAACAATGTGGGGAAGCAAATGAAAGTAGAAGTAGACCTCACTTATCCATTCGTTCAGCAACTGTACAAAAAGTGATAATACTTCTGAAAAAAATTTTTATAGCTCATTTAAGACCTTTTCATGAACTTTCAAATATTTCAGGTGGCTAATAATCACCTGGGTCATCTTTAATATCCTTAATATCATATTCAGCAATTTTTAAAAGCTATTTATGGAGTTAGTACATGGAATTAAATATATAAATTCTGAAATTAAAAAGTTTAGTAGCTTTATCATAAAACACTTTGAATGTTAAATTTAGAGAATTAAGTATAGTTGCTACTTTCAAAATCCATGAGAAAAATGACTAATCTATCTAAAGCTACATTAAGTAATTAAAAATTTAATTAAGACCACTTTAAAGTAGTTTTAGAATATATTAATGCAAATAACTTTTTTTTCATAAATCAAACATACTAGCCACTGATCTGGATTTTGTTTAATTTAATTTACTCCTGGAAACAAATACTTTTCTATTTACTTACCTGTGATAAAGAAATACTAATTACCATGTTAGTTAAAGCTTTATGTTTGAAAAGAAGTTCGTGCATTCTAAATAAATTATATTTCTTACAGTTTCAATATTTAATTAGCTGTTTTTAACCTGAAATGTATTAATATTTATGTTTCACTATTGTCTCTTAGGACATTAAGTGTCTCTAGCTTCAACAGTGTCGTCAGACTTCTCCTAGCTGTCCAGACAAGAAATAGGTTTCCAAGGACAGTAAAGTTCTGTTAAGTATATTTATTATAACAAATTTAACAAAATCACTATGAAACAATTCCAGCGATTGCTGGATATAAAATACTAACTACATTTATAGACCAATCATGGTTCAAAGTTAATCTATTTGAACATGATGTTAATTTCCACCTTTTTTGAAAGCAGAATGATCTGGAATCTTCTTTTTTGGAGCAGTTCATCCTTTAAGTGGAAGAGCAGCTGATTTTGAAACCTACTTTCAATCCAAAATTGGTTTCCAGATTTTTTTTAAATATCTGCTTCTAACATTATTGCTTTTATATTGTTCATTATACAATACATATTTCCTAGATTCATGCTTCTCATGAGAATAAAACATCGGCCTTCAAAAATAAATGGACAGCTTAAAAATTAAAATAAAAACATAAAACAAATCATAGAAAAATCAAGTCTTGTTACTAGCTTCTTAATTTATTGGTATTTATTTTTTCCTAGCTTTATTCTGTTTATCTTTATAAAGAACTCACAAAAAACTTTATAAAAAGAGCTTTATTAACAGAAAAAGACCTTTATAAAAACATAAAAAAATAAAAGGAAAAATTATTTTAAAAATGTATAAAGAACTTATAAAAAAGACTTGACATCTCATAGAAGGGAGCAAATATTCACAAGGGATTAAACACACACACACACACACACACACACACACTACCCTTCCTGGATATTCTCATCAGCAGAAGAAACACAAGTCTATGAAAAAATAATCCACACTTATTAAGCACTCCATTACCAAAATAACAACCCAATCTCCCAAAAGAGGATTTGGGTAAGAACATTATTCAGATGAGTACCCTATAGCACCCTACAGGAAACAGATTGCCCTAATAAAGGAACTACCAAAGATAAAACCACATTTCTCTAACTCTAGCAGAACAAGCTACTATGTTATATATAAACAGGAAAAAACTGCCACACTCAGTAGCACTAATAATATATAGTTACATAGTTGGGTAATGAAATGTCTGCAAGCAACTAAGCTCGGAGAACACCAATGACTCTCCATCGTTATACTTCAGTTGTCATCTGTATTTTTTTCCTGCAAACTCTTGGGAACATTCTATTCATTCTCACTGATTTCAAAGCTAGTAAAATGGTTGGATTTTGATTGTTCTTCATTTCTTTTACTTCAAGCTGGGCACAGCAACTTTTAGCCAGGTGTTGATCAAAGTAATCAAAAATAACATTTGTAGTCTATCTAGGATGGGCGTACCTTGCTACAGTAATCCTATGCACATATAGATAATCCTTGGCATAAAACCACAGTGGAGCCCAGAAGTTTGGTCATAAGTCATTGCAGTCATAAGTTGAGTCACCACGTGACTGATCTTATTTTACAAATGCTTTTTTGATGGTCATAAATCAACTCACTGCAGTTGTTAACTGAATCACATCATTGTTAAGTGAATCATGGGATTGTTAATCTAACCACATGGTCATTAAACTTATCCAATGGGCTTTTTTGCTATTTTCTGCTTGAAAACAGCAAACAACATTGCAAATTGTGGTCACATGGCCATGTGATACTGGTTGTAAATTGAGCTGGTTGCCAAGTGCCAAAAATGCAACCACATGCCCACAGGTGTGTGTGCGTGTATGTGCTGCAGTTGTAACTTTGAGAATGGGTTGAAGTAGTTTTGCAGGATCCAATCTGGATTGGTTACTGGGACCAGAGACTTAGTTTCTCGAGTTTTCGGACTTTTGCTGGAGCCCATCCTCAGGGAGCTTCTGTCTACCAGAATGTGTCTATCAGAAAGCTTGGAAGACTAAACTTCTGGTCCCAGTGACCAATCCAGATTGGATCCTGCAACATTATCCGGGGACATATATATTTGCTTTCATTCACAAAGTAGCTTTTTTGAAGTCTGTCATAACTTTGAATGGTCTTTAAGTGACCAGTCATAAGTCAAGGGCTACCTGTACTATAATATGCTCTACTGGGGCTGCCTCTAAAAACCATGACCCAGAAGCTGCCAATGGTCCAGAACAGTGGTCACCAACCAGTGGGCTACGGCCCACTGGTGGTCTGCGAGAAAATTTTGGTGGTCCGCAGAGAAATGTCACCCCCAGAGCACCCCTCCCAAAGCAATCCAGGCTGCGTGGGAACACAAGGCTGCATCGCCCACATGGCCCGCAGGAACCCTCCCCACCCACTCACTCCTTACCTGGCAAACTTGCCTGCTAAGTTGCTATTTTTCCTTTTTATTTTCCCCCGACCAGCTGTTCTGCTGTGCTGGGAGATTTAGATTAGCTAGAAAGCAGGAAACCATTGGATTTCTTGCTTTCTAGCTAATGTCTAGATCTTCGGCTCTGCTTTTAAGCAAAGCTGAACCTTCCTTAGGACCAAAACTTCTATTATTCAGTACAGACTCAGGTAGCCGATGGCAGAAAGATAGATCTCTGAATGAATCTATGATTCTGTGAGCAACTCAATCTGCCTGCCTGTTTTGTCTGATTTTGGGTAAAAGTTGCTCTTTTTTTAATTAAAAAATCAATATTTACATACATAGTGTGTTGTGAGTTAATTTTGTGAGTTTGCTTGCAAGCAAATTTTATGTACCTTTATGTTTAATTTTATGTTTCAG